GGAGGATTGATGACATCAGATTCTGCATCCGAGTCATCATCACTATTGCCCTCTGGCTCTTCCTCTTCGAGGTCCACTATTGACTCAGCAGGTCCATCTGCAAGTTCTACTCCGTGTTCCTCCTCTGAGTCGAGCCACCCTGCTATTCCCTGACTAGGGAGATAGGGGTTTCCTGGCTAATGATACTCGTCTATAGTGTATTGCACGAAGGGGTATAAATACTAGAAACAAATAGCATACCAATTACTCTATAGTAATTTATTTTGTTTATTGGTTTGGTTCTATAAGCTCTTTAGATAATTAAATGGTAAGTTTTTGATTCATTGTCCATCACAATTACTCCCGAACACATGTTGGTCGTATTTTGAATGAATGTAGTTGATCAGGCTACATTCACCCCCAATACGATTACATAACTGCCCGAGTTTAATAGCGATGTTCAAATCCTCCAAAGACTTTTACTGTTGTTGTGTTATTATTCTAAAATGCACACAAAGGTATGTATTTTAATTATTATGTTCAGAGTTGTTTAGTCCCATTGTATTTATAGTTGCATATCCTGTATGATTAGATATGCTAGTTCACTATAAACAATGCTCTGATACCAATCTGTCACACCCCCGAACCAGACGGCGGAAACGTCCGGGGGCTTGTGCGTGACTTCATCTTGAAATATCATTACAGTGAATATAATTGAAACATAAACATCATCATCACACATGTAATATAACAACATTCATTGTTTACATCGAGTATTGTATTTGAATATTACATGCCAAAATAGTAAGAGTATGATGAAACAAAATATAACACAATATCCATTAGTTTGTTCGTTCATCCTGCTTCAACAGGTTTCCTGAGAATACAAGTTATTTTGAAAACGTCAACATAATAATGTTGGTGAGTTCATAAGCATGTTTGTGAAAATGATTTGTATAACTTTGAAACCACCAGAAAATCCGATATTTTCTGCAAACTGTTCAGTATGTTTGTGTCAGACCTTGTATTAATGCTTTATGTTTTGTTTATTTGACTAAAAGGGTAAAGAGAATGTAGAGAGAATGTAAAGAGCATGTAAAGAGAATGTTCCCAGACAACCGATGTTGTCTGTAAAAGAGAAAAGCTGCCATACCAACCCCCGAGGTTGAGTACCAGTATGAGAATGTTTCCGAGTAATCCAAGAGAAAAAAGAATGGTCTTCCGTAAACTTCATAACGTTAATTCCTATAAGTGAGTCGTCAAAACCATACTAAATAATGACAATTTCGCATGTCTTGGCGTTGTTGGACGCCGGTGTTTGATTTGATTATAAGGTTTTCGTCACCCTAGACTGAGTTAGTCTAACTGTAGCGAACAGCTCAGGTGTGGGGTGTCATCCCCGTATAGATCTATACACAAATCCCCGCTCTCCCTCCAAGAGACTCTGGTTATAACTACAGGCTACGATCGTACACTTAATAGGTGCCAACCGACAAAACTCACTAGATCCTTAATCGAATTTACGCGAAGAAAAGTATAAACTCATTCCAGGCCCAATGAACCATGTAAGTGAACCACTAAGGCATCGCTAAACATGTAAATCATTTCAAGGCCCAATTGGAATGAGATTATATAACATGGGCCCGAAATATATATGAAAGGACAACTAAGGCCCATTTCACATGTAAGGTATTTACAGGCCCAAATAGCACACAAATAGTATCCAAGGTCCGTCGCACATGTTAATGGGTCAATGAGGCCCAATAAACATATAAATAGTATACAGGACCCATCAAACACATAAATGGGCCACCAAGGCCCAATAACCTAGAAAATGATCAAATAAATCCGTTTGTTAGTTTATCGTTGGTTTTGGTTCAATTATTCACTAAAATAGCATAAAAGCCCACTTTTTGTAAAAATGACGTTCTTGGCCCAATAAGCCAAAAATTTACAATTAAGGCCCAATTTTTGTAAGAATAACACTTTAGTCTCCATTTTGTTCAAAAATTATGTTGATGACTAGTTTGTGGTAAAAATAACATTTTAAACCTATTTTTGTCAAAAATATCATTTTTGGCTTGATTTTTGTGGAAATACACATTTTTCTGGTTTTGGGCTTTTCCGACCTAGTTTTTGGAAAATTTGTAGAAAAATCATCGTAAGTCAAAATTTGGATCCGTAAATTCTGGAATTTTGGATATTTTGTCTACTTTGTTCACAATTTTTCTCATAATTTTTAATGGCTTCTAACAAGTATGAAATTGCTCACCTTTACAGGCTGGTCCGAAATTATTTCAAATCTGATAGGCAGTTTTGTAAAATTCGCCAAAAATTGTTGAAAAATCGTATGAAAACGTGAGAGTAGTCATCTTAAAGGTATAAACCTGAACGTTTTGCATGTAAAACAGTTTTGAAAAATATTATCATTAAGGGGGTCAAAACAGTCCGAGATTGGACCAAAACTTTTCTGTCAAGGGCTGTTTTATGAGTTTAATTTATAGATCTTAGAACACAACACTCATTTTTGCTATTTAAAGTGTATAAATCCTAGATCTACTAGTTTACATGTATTATATGTGATAACACATATTTTTCTCAAGGTTTTTATGAAGATCCAAGGGACAAACTTCATGTTCTTAGCATATTTTTAGTTTTATGAAGTAAACAACACAAAATCACCAAATGGTTCAAGAAAACACACATAATCATGCATATACACATAGATCTACACATAAGACTTGTATTCTCCCCCAAAAACCAAGTAAAAGTCGAAAATAGGGGGTATGAACTCACCTTGGGGTGATGGATCGGTTTTGGTGAAGAAGTGGAAGAAGATTTTTGATCCTAGCAAGCTTTCTTGAGTAGATCTTGAACTTAGATGGTTCTAAGAACATGATCCACAAAAATATGGGTGTAAGAGGAGATCTTTGAAGAGATCAAGAAGTTATATCATAGATCTAAGTGGGAACTTACCAAAGTTGATGATCTTGAAGAAGAATTTCTTGAAGTATACTCTAATTCTCGAAAATTTAGAGGAGAGTGTAGGAGTGTTCTTGTGAGCTTTCCTTAAGAGATTTGTAAGTAAAATAAGTGTGTGGTGGTGATTTTTGGCTCTATGGCCTAATTTAAGAAGAATAGGAGGGAGGTGGAGTGGTTTTTACTTAGTGGTTCATTGCTAAGTGCATAAATGTATGTGAAATAATAGCATGGTTAACTAAAGGTTATTAGTGAGGTGGCACCTCACTAATCACCCTCTTTTGTTTTGTTTCTTTGTTTTTTTTACATGGGCCGAGAATGGTGATTATGAGGAGGCTTGGGCCTTGTCTTGGTCCTTGCTCGAAATTATGAAGCCCATAGGAAGGTTTTCGGCCTATTGGGCCCTTATTTATGGTTCACGGCCCAATAGTATAAAAGAATGGGTTCTATGGTCCATTAAGGTTAATTGGAGTTGTTATGGCCCAAAAAGGCCCATTAGGGTTAGAATGAATCATTCTAGGCCCAAATGGCCCAAAATGTTATAGATTGATGAATTGATGATTTATTGGTCCCTTAGGCCCAAATAAGAGAATCCTAGTCTATAATGAACTTGAGCCGGGATTTCTAGGGTTTCCAACCCTTATTTGCACATATGAGATGTATTTGAATGAGCATAGAGTATGATATTCGCTTAGAGTACCAGTTATTATACTAGTTGAATTGATTGTATGAGGGTAGAATCTCCTAGCAGAAATGCTAGTTGTGACAAATTATGCTTCTGCTATGCTCGTCGGAGAAGCCTTGGTCTGGTGGGAAGCAATATATGAAGCTGTCAACGGGTTTGACCAGGAGAATTTATCCTGGGAAATGTTCAAAAATCGTTTGCTAGGGAAGTATTGTCCTCTGGACATGAGGAGAAGATTGGAGAAAGAATTCCTCGAGCTTAAACAAGGAGGAATGACTGTGATTGATTATGAAACCCAATTCAATCAAAAAGCACGGTTTGCTACAAAGTATATTCCAACTGAACACTACTAGAAAAACAGCCTTTTACGACGCGCAATGCGCGTCGTAAAACGCTCAGACGACGCGCAAATGCGTGTCAAGGAATGCCCTGTCATAACGAGAGACGACACGCTTTTGCTCGTCGTCTACAGACGACGCACATTTACGACGCGCATTTATGACACGCATTTACGATGCGCGTGTACGACGCGCATTGCGTATCAAGGAAGGCCCTGTCATAAAGGAAGATGACACGCATTTGCGTGTCGTAACCTTACGACACGCGTGTTTATCACACGCAATGCATATCAAGGAAACCCATGTCATAAAGGAAGAAGACACGCATTTTTGCGTGTCATAATTTTTAAATGTTTTTAAAAATTATATATTTTTGATAGATTTACTAATTTTCAAACTAAATAACACATTAAAAGTCTCATAATACAAAATAAAATACCATAAACAATAAAGATAATTCATTGCACTATTATGTCAAATACAAATAATCATTCCAATAGTAAGTAAATGTAACACATTGCTAATATTGCATAATATTTATTATAGAGAACAAAACATGTACAACCTTAAAAGAAACCCATGACTAAATTCTCCTTTAACAATTTCCTTTCTAAAGGAATAACCTGATGCAGGAACTTTGAGAGGCTTCAGGGCATGGAAGGAGGTTACTAGAGCTGTCAGAACCTACACATGGCAAATCGGTAACTTAACATGCAATACAATAAAGAAATATGTTTAAAAATTTTCTATTGTTTTGAACACCTACATGATCAGCAAGCTTTTTTATACTCGGTAACTTAACATGCAATACAATAAAGAAATATGTTTAAAAAATGCGTATAAATATCAAAAAACAAGATAGGAGCCAATCATTCTATGACACAAGGAAAAATATCCCTAGAGAACTATAAAAAAAATATGAAACAAATGAATGAAAGTGCATTGCTATTTCTTTAATACTTACTGCATAGAGTAAGACATGGCCATCATCCATAGTTTTGAAGGACATTGATGTCTTGCTATGCTGCACATATTAAAAATAAAAAAGAACAAAACTTAGTAACATATGGACTTATCTAGCTTGCTGAAATAGACATACAAAAGATTTTGCTGTACTAGCTTGCTGAAATAGACATACAAAAGATATCAGGAAAATACCAAAATGCCCTTGTGTGAAAGTAGCTGGATTGCTCACGTCTTTCTTCTCTTGAGGCAAAAGAAAAGGATCCCTGGCACTAAGTCCAGCAACAATTGTAAGAATAGGATCAAAGCAACGAAAAAAAGCACCCATTATCAGCATTTTCCCTAATTTCGGATCCAATGGAAGTATTTTGGACCTAGAACAAATTAGAGTTCTATCATTTAGCAATTTGAATCATTCATAAAGATTCAAGTCATCAAAAAATAGTTAACACTTACAGCTTATGGCTCTGGAGGCTGCAAAGCAGCTGATAAAAACTCTCCAATACTTCCAACTTCCCAACTTATTATTTGCAAACAAAGAGAATTTAAAGGAGTTCTTAAAAGCTCGGGTAGTTGATATTCAGAAAAAAGCATCATAAACACATTGAGGGTAAAGCAACATAGAAATTAGTCAACTTACAGCTAATGGATCTGGAAACATTCCCCTGGTTGCACACGCCCTGCCCTACCCCTTCTCTAAACCAACAAAAAAAGCAACATAGAAATTAGTCAACTACCTTGACCAACAAAGTCAAAGGGTAAAAAGGTAACTTACTTGGCGAGCAGATGCGTGTGATATGCATGAAGGCAACAAACAAGGAGTGTTTTTCAAGGCATCAAAAGGTAAAAAGGTAACTTACTTAGAGAATCACGAGCTTTTGAGCTATTATTCTCAAAGTTTGATTGAGTCAATGCATCCTAACATATTCACATCAAAATTTAAACTTGTTTTTAGTCTTTAGAATCAAAAGTTAAACTAGAGTTGACTTAATTTTACCAGAATCCAGATAAAGATTACCTCAACAAGTGATGTACGAAGAGCCTCCCCTGTCACAGCCTTAATCTCAGGCCTGAAGTACTTGACTGAATCCAGATAAGAAAGATAAACACGCCGATGGTTTGGCTGCAGACACTCTGCTCCAAATTCTTGAACATACATACCAAATAGACACACTTCTACACCTTCAATTTTCTGAAACAACAAAACTACCTAAAACAAGAAAAGCCTAGTTTAGGGATTCACATACATACCAGAACCACAAGATAACGGATTGCGTAATTTGAACTTTTTATTTTTTTTTTCTTATTAAGTCACTAAACTTTGAAAAATCCATCCAAGGATAGCTGTTTGGAATTTCGGTAGATTTTAGGAAGAGATGCTATAATAAACAAATCAACGAAAGTGGTACGTTGCTTGCAGTTGAAATACCTTAGACTTATACCCAAACTCCACAGGGTAATTTTCCTCTTGAAAGATCTCAAGAAATCGTTGCTTGACTTCCAACTTCTTGTCCACAGAAGAGACCACTCTGACAACAAGTGCTTCTGCTCCAAGAACCTGATAATAAAGAAAATGTAAGATACATACTTTGTTCATTCACAATGTATGGTATGGAGTTGTCTTAAATAATGTCCTGGTTTCTGTTTTTGGGATTATAACATCACCATTCACCTCATCATAAGTTTTCCCATAGAACCTTGCGCACTCTAGTCTCTCCTGCTTCAGTTTTCCAAACAACCTGCTCTCTATGTGATCACTGAGTATGGTTTCTGTTTTTGGTAAATCTTTTGCTCCAAGCACAGCACTCTGTGGTAGAGGCATCCACTCTCCTCTTTCAACTTCTTCCATATAACAATTTGGACAAGTATAATTTGCTTGCCCCCCATCATTTCTTCGACCATTAAATAGCGCACATATTTGATGCTGCCAGGCTTCACACCTGTCACATTGAACCCACTGCAGTGCAGATGGGACCCCACAAGAAATTAAAATATATATATACTATATTATATATATATATATATATATATATATATATATATAAAAGGGTACACAACATACCCATTCTTCAGTCTCCTCATTATTTTTCTTTTTCTCAAATCTAGCTTTCAAAACATTAGTTCCATCAACATTGATAATGTCTCCACGGGAATCGTTATAGCATGAAATGCAAAAGTAGTGTCGGGTATCACCAGTTCCAACAGTGTAGAACATAGCATTTCTCTTGATGCGAGCACCACAAGGTGTGCAATATATAGGCAGGGGTTCAAAACTGAGCTTTTCAACTGCACATAGTTGACACGAGTTCTCACTCATCGAGTGTTCCAGAGCTTGATTCTTCTCTACTTTTGCTTTGCTCTGTATAAAATGAGAGATTCAAAAACAAACACAGCTCCATTATCCATAAAGTAAAATGCAGATTCTGACCTGGCCAACCCACTGCCTGAGACCTGTTATATGCTCACGAACCTGCTCTGGTGTAAACAACTCTATCATTGATACTCCCTTTATTTTTGGTTTCCCGGACTTGGTTCCAGTAGAAGGTTCTGCAGGAAGTGATGTACTTTCCTGGACCACCTCCAGTAGCACTCATCAGTATCAATGTCAAATCCCTACATCTCAATAAGAAGTCTGAAAATTAATAACAAATGATTTGTGTGATCTTTTTTCTTAATCCTAAACATATTGTTGCTAGTTCTTCCACACACTGCATGTGTTATAAAACAGACCTTCATTTTTGCTAGTAAAACTGACCTTCATTGTTGCTAGTTCTTCCACACACTGCATTAGAACTCCACACTCTGGTACCTATTCAACCATTTGTGTGTGGATGAGAGAGAGAGAGAGAGAGAGAGGGGGGGGATAGATAGATTTGTTTCAACTTGAAATGAGAGGTGTATGCGTGTAACAAAGCTCTTTTGTGTGTTTGTAAGAAAACTCTTTCAAGTAAAGTTACAGGTTTCAACCCATACTGTGAGTACATAAGTAGTATAATACCTTAAATGCCCTTAAAATTGCCATGTAGCGTGATGTACAGCATCATATGGTTCACTAAAATCCTGATAAACAGAAACATACACGAGATATTAAAAAAGGGTTGAATTCAGTGTACTTTCATTGTTGAGTTTCTTACAGCATTCCTACCTTTTGCTTTGGATGGACCAAGACTCCGAACTCCTTAGATCAACAGCCTGCAACCAAAATCCGATTAAGAAAATATTGAACCAAGAAATCAACTCATTTAATAAATGAAAAAATAAAAAAATAAAAAAAATAGAATTTTCACCACGATGGTGAACTACAGGGTGTTCTGAGCCATAGAAAGTTAAAAACATGATGTAAATGAACTGAACCTAACACGATCGATCCAGAAATGCAGAAACCTTAACAGAAAAAAAGATAGAAAGAGACCTCTAGAGCTTTACAGATGTTTTCGAGTTCATCCCGGAGGTTGACTTTCTGGGAAATCGTCACCACCTCAACAACACCGAAGCATGTTTCACCATCTATTTCAAACACAGGGAGGTTGAGACACCTACAAAAGTTGAGTTTTTTAGCGTAAACCACACGTGCCTCGTCCCCTTCTGCAACAATTCGAAGATCTGGTGTGCATGTGGGAAATTTCTTCATGAAAACGCGACTAGGGAAACCGATCATCTCATTAGAATCATACTCAACTTCAATATTAATTTAACCTAGGGCTTGTAAACTTGAGCAATCGTTGTAGTCTCTGGTGAGGTGAGGTGAGCCCGAGGTCGCCGGCGGAAAGAGATGAGCCGAGGTCAGAGGTGAGTTGAGGTAGATTCGGTAGTGGTGGAGGCGGATTAGGGTTTACAGAGAAAAGGGGAAGGAGAGAGTGAAGGTTGTCAGCTGGTGGCGTGCGAGGGAAGAAGTAGGCGGGCAGTCAATGTCTGTCGGGAGGGGAAGGAAGGGGCGTCGATAATTAGGGCAAGAGGGAAAGGAAGAAAAAGGAAGGCGGGGTATTTAATTTTTAGGATTTCATTTCCCTCCCCCACCCCGCTATTAAAGGATGGAACGCGCGTTCTCATTAAAATTTATAAAGCGACATCTTCACACGACACACATTTTATTATAGGCGCCCTCCGTGTTTTTTTTTTGTTTAGACACTAATTTTTAAGGGCACGCAAAAATGCGCGTCCTAGATCTTTAAAATTTATAGAGAGATGACATTATTTTTAGGTCACACACTTTTGTGTATCGTAAATCGATGCGTATCATAAATTGCGCGTCGTAAAAGGCTATTTTTCTAGTAGTGGAAGACGATAAAATTCAGTTATTTCTGGATGGACTACGATATGAAATCCGCGATTTCGTGGCTAATCGGGATGTTATGTCATTTGAAAAACTTGTTGAGTATGCTCGAAAGCGAGAGCATGACTTAGAAATATGTGGTGCCACTCTTTCTGTTCTGAAGCATCCACAAATTGATCGAACTACTCCTGTTTCCTCTATTCCACCAGCACAATCTATTCGAACTGAACCTGGTAAACAAGTGTAAACTCAAAATGCCCCTCGTGACCGCGGTAGGTCGCAATCTATTTCTCTTCAATCGCCATCGTGTCGAAATTGTGGAAAGAATCATCCGGGCAAATGCAGATTAGAAAAAGGATCAGTGGTCTATTATGGATGTGGGAGAAGTAGGCCACATGAAGTCTGTTTGTCCGATAAAGAATGTTACATGCTTTGCTTGTGGTGTTGCTGGCCACAGAAAGCGTTTTTGCCCTACTCTTACTAGTCAAATGACAGGAAGTCAAGCTTCTATACAACAACCGGCGAGAAGTCAAGCTCCTGTTCAACAATCAAAGGGTACTCCAACTGAAAAGGAGGAGGTGCCAAAAGCTAAGGGTCGTGCATTCCAGATTACCACAGAGGAAGCACGCGAGGACCCGAATGTTGTGACGGGTACATTTCTTGTTAACTCTAGACCTGCTCACATTTTATTTGATTCTGGTGCCTCAGATTCTTTTATGTCTCATGAATTTGCTCATTCCTTTCAAATTGCTTGCTATGCACTCGCGCAACCATTTCATGTAGATACTACGAGAAGTATATCATTACTTGTTGATAAAGTCTATATGGATTGTGTCATAGAAATTGAAGGCTATAATTTTCTTGCTAATCTGATTCCTATCTCCTTGCCCAACTTTGATATTATTCTCGACATGGATTGGTTGTCAAAGAACCACGCAGAACTCTTGTGCTATGAAAAGATAGTATGTATTCCTAATGAAGGGGAGAATCCTATTTATGTCTACGGTGAACAAAGACTTAAAATCGTAAAAATAATCTCTTACCTAAAAGCTTGTAAATTCATATCGAAGAGGTGTTCTATCTATCTGGCCTACACAGTTGATATCTCAAAAGAGGAGAAGAAAACGGTAAAAGATGTTCCCGTTGTTAATGAATATCTTGATGTTTTTCCCGAAGAATTGCCTGGACTTCCTCCGGACAAGCAAGTAGAATTCCAAATTGACCTTGTGTCTGGTGCTAATCCGATTGCAAAGACTCCTTATCGTCTTGCGCCAGCTGAGATGAAAGAAATGATGATTCAACTACAGGAATTACTTGACAAAGGTTTCATTCGACCGAGTACCTCTCCTTGGGGTGCTCCAGTGTTATTTGTCAAGAAGAAAGACGGTTCGATGCGAATGTATATTGATTACCGTGAGCTAAATAAGGTAACTATCAAGAACAAGTATCCACTACCTCGCATTGACGATTTGTTTGATCAACTTCAAGGTGTTGGCTATTTCTCAAAGATTGATTTAAGATCTGGCTATCATCAGTTGAAAGTACACGAGCAGGATGTACCGAAGACTGCTTTTCGTACTCGATATGGGCATTATGAATTCCTTGTCATGTCGTTCGGTTTGACAAATGCTCCTGATGTATTCATGGATATGATGAATCGCGTGTGTCGTCCAATGCTCGATAAACCTGTCATCGTATTCATTGATGATATTCTAATTTATTCCAAGTCTGAATCTGATCATACATTCATATTCGTAAGGTATTAGAACTTCTTCGAAAGGAGAAACTATATGCTAAATTCTCGAAATGTGAATTTTGGCTTCGCCAAGTTTAGTTTCTCGGCCATGTGATTTCTGGTGACGGTGTATCCGTAGATCCTACCTAAATCGAAGCCATTCAGAATTGGGAAGTTCCCTGTAATGCTTCCGAAATTCGCATTTTCTTGGGTCTCGCAGGATATTATCGGATATTTATTAAAGACTTTTTATGTATAGTTGTACCTCTCACAAGTCTTACACGAAAGGAAACCAAGTTTGAATGGGGTGAAGCCCAAGAAAAAAGCTTTCTCGACTTTAAAAGATCTTTTGACTCATGCTCCGATCTTATCACTCCCAGAAGGTGATAATGATTTTTCTGTGTAAAGCGATGCTTCACGGTTAGGACTCGGTTGTGTGTTGATGCAACGTGGTAAAGTGATAGCTTATGCCTCAAGACAACTGAAAGAGTATGAAAAGAATTATCCCACCCATGACCTTGAACTTGCTGCGATGGTATTTGCCCTAAAACTTTGGAGACATTATCTTTTTGGTACAAAATGCCATTTGTTTACCGATCACAAAAGTCTCAAGTATATCCTCAGTCAGCAAACTCTAAATATGAGACAACAACGAGCCATGGAGCTGATCAAAGACTATGACTGTGAAATCCTGTATCATCCTGGAAAGGCCAATGTAGTTGCCGATGCACTTAGCAGGAAAGTTTGTCGTAATAGTATGTGTTATAATATTACTCACACTACAGTAAAGTTCACTATTCTTAATGAATTAGAGAAATGGCAAGTGGAGGCCCTAAAGCCAGAAAATGCGAAGAAAGGAGGGATGGTACATTATGCTGATGTTTTACTTGATGATCCACGATGATTAAAGGTATTTAAGAATCGGCTATCGATTCCAAAGATTGGCGGATTAAGACAGAAGATTTTAGATGAAGCTCATAAGTCTAAGCTGTCTATACATCTTGGTACAAGTAAAATGTACTATGATGTACGGGCTGATTATTGGTGGCCTGGATTAAAGAGAGACATTGGAAGATATGTGCAGGAATGTCTAGTATGCTTACAAGTCAAAGCAGAGCACCAAAAGCCTTACGGAACTCCAGAAAGTCTTAGTGTTCCTGTGTGGAAATGGGAAGAGCTGTCCATGGATTTTATTACCAAATTGCCAAAGACTGCTAGACAACATGATAGCATTTGGGTAATTGTCGACCGCCTAACTAAGAGTGCACATTTTCTCACCATGCGTGAAATGGCTCCAATGGAGAAATACGCACAAGTATATTTGGATGAAATTGTTGCGAGACATTGTGTACCACTAAAGATCATTTCCAATCGTGATACTCGCTTCACTTCTCATTTTTGGGCGAGTATGCAACGTGAAATGGGATCTCGAGTTGCTCTCAGCACAGCTTATCATCCCCAGACAGACGGTCAGACGGAGAGAACAATC